GGTATGTCATGGTATGTCATGGTATGTATGGTATGTATGGTATGTATGTATGTATGTATGCATGCATGCATGCATGGATGGATGGATGGATGGATGGATGTGTGTATGTATGTATGTATGTATGTATGTATGCTCTCTTCCTTACATTTCTTCTTGCTCTCTTTTAGTTTTAGTAGTAGTAGTAGTAGTAGTAGCAGTAGTAGTAGTAGTAGTAGCAGTAGTAGTAGTAGTAGTAGTAGCAGGATTAGTAGTAGTAGTAGTAGTAGTAGTAGTAGTAGTAGTAGTAGTAGTAGTAGTAGTAGTAGTAGTCGTCGTCGTAGTCGTAGTCGTCGTCGTAGTCGTAGTCGTAGTCGTAGTCGTAGTCGTAGTCGTAGTCGTAGTAGTAGTCGTAGTAGTAGTAGTAGTAGTAGTAGTAGTAGTGGTCCCAAGCTGACCGGCGAGGGACCTTAAGCCTTAAGGTCCGCCCTGACTTTAAGGCTTCGACCTTCGTACCCCCGCCCGCGACCCGCCATGGTCACCCTTCGGTTGAACCTTAAGGGTACCTTGGCCGAAGGCTTAAGGTTAAGACCTTAAAGGTACCTTGGCCGAAGGCTTAAGGTTCAGACCTTAAAGGGTACCTTGGCCGAAGGCTTAAGGTTCAGACCTTAAACCTTAAGGTCCCAAGGTGACCTTCGGCGAGGGACCTCAAGCCTTAAGGTCCGCCCTGACCTTAAGGCTTCGACCTTCGTACCCCCCCGGCGACCGGCCATGGTCACCCTTTGGTTGAACCTTGAGGTACCTTGGCCGAAGGCTTAAGGTTCAGACCTTAAGGGTAACTTGGACGAAGGTCTCCGACCCGTCCTCTCTCAGACGTTTTCGCCATCAATCCTTGCGAAGTCTTTGGATGTGAGTATGGCCGGTGATTAGCGCCCTGAGGAGGCTGTGGGCGAGATATTGAGGCACGTGTCTCTGGCTGTGGGCCCTTCAAAAGGCGCTTTGGCCCTCTGTGGGCTCCCGTCCTCTACACCATGACCTGCGCTCGGATGCCGTACCTCGGATCTTGACAGCAACCGCCAGCGAGCCCGCCGGCGGGTCAAAGTGGCGCTGAACCAGCATGAAAAGTATACGGCTGGCTGGTGTCAGAGTGATTAGTCGCGTTTCTTCTCTGGTGGTGTGGTTTCCGGCCAGCTGGCAAAATCGCGCCCTTATTTGAGAAAGGCAATCGGGCGAAAGGCCTGCTTCAAGAAGTGAATAAATTTGACGCTTGATGTTGCCCCATGCGCAAGGATGACACTGCACAATCAAGAGAGTGTAACAAGTTTATTTCACATTGCATGTACAGTGAAGCCTGATTCCATAGGCGCTTCGGATCAAAAGATGTTTTCATGGTAGCGGGGAGCCTATTTGGCATTAGGCCATTGGCATCCTTGGGACTTTGGTGTAGTTTTCCAGGTAGTTGGTGAGCCATAGTTACGTTGCTGTTTCTACGAGCTGTGGTTTTAAGCTTCTGGATTTGATGACAACGCTTTCTGCAGATGACTTCAGGATGATGCTGCAGGCGGTCACACAAGCGGCCCAAAGCGCTTCAGATGCTGCACAGGCCCTACAGGCATTGCAGTCTCAGCAAAGTTCTACCACTGCGGTTCAGGTTCCAACTGGTGACAACTTCAAAGAAGCTAGTCGAATGGTTAGGCAGCCAGATCCTTTTGGATCAGAGGATCATGAAAGTGATCTTAGCAAGTGGCAGGATTTTTGCGTGAATTTGAAAGCTTGGTTGTTTCTGGGAAATTCTGGATTTGAAGTGGACTTGCATAGAGCAGAATCTCACAAAACTGGTTCTATTGATGTCAGCGCAGAAGCTCCAGATGTTCAACTGCGTTGCAAGCAGTTCTACAACATCATGACTGGTCTGTTGAGGGGTAAACCTTTGAGGATGTTGCGGCAAATTGAGAACCGCAATGGATACGAGTTGTGGCGTCAACTGTGTCAACTGTTTGCACCGAAAACAAAGGCGAGATCAATTTCAGTTTTGTCAGCGCTGCTTCATGTACCTCCTTTTACCAAAGACAAGACCCTCTTAGATCAAGTCCTTGGCTTGGAACGTTTGAGAGCTGAATACGCAAAGTCCAGTGGTGCAGAAGTCCCAGATGATTTGATGTTGTCAGTGCTTGTGAAGTCGCTGCCGCGTCACATACAGCAGCACATCCAGTTGCAGATGGATGAGAGCAGTTCTTACGAGGACATCCGAAGCTTGGTGATTGGTTATGAAAAGATCACCGCAAGTTGGAGCCCTGGGAAAATCCACTCAGAGCTTGGTATAGTTTCACAATCTAATTCAGGTCCGGCCCCAATGGAAGTTGATTTGGTTTCCACTTACCCTAAGGGTAAAGGCAAGAACAAAGGGAAACCAAGTAAGGGGTCTCAAAAGGGTAAGGATAATCAGAAAGGCAAAGGGTCTCAGAGTCAAAAAGGCAACAAGGGCAGTTCAAAGGGCAAAGACGGCAAGGGCAAAGGTGGCACTCCACCAACATGCTATCACTGCGGGAAGCCTGGTCATACAAAACGAGAATGTTATCAATAGGTTGGCTATCCCAAGAAGGTGAACGCTGTTTCAGCTGATGATGGTGCCTCTACTTCCGGTTCTTCAGTTTCAACTGTTCCCACATCGGCATCTACGGCTGGCAATGTCGGTGGTGCTCCTGCAGTGCGTTTGTTTTCTTCCACTGGTGTCATCATAGAAGAGTTGGCAGAGACTGATTCTGAGAATGAAATCATAGACCTTACTGCATATGATGTCCCTAGCGGTTCATGCATGATGGTTTCACTGGATGGAGATGACATTTCTGCTTGTGATGCATACATGTGCTGCAGCTGCCCGGTGTTTGACATGTCGTATTCAGATTTGGATGACTCATGGACTTTGGCAAGTGATGACATTGTTTCCAATTTTTCTACGTTTGCAACTGTAGAATCTGAACACATACGTGCAGTGCATCATTCTGGAGGTGCTGAACTGACAGAGATCGTTTTCGATTCAGGTGCTGATGGCTCAGTACTCCCTCCAGCGTTTCTCACTGCAGGTAGGTCAATAGATGGTTCAGGCTGTTCTCAGTACGTTGATGCGCAGGGAAATCCCATCACTATTCATGACTCCAGGGTTGCAGATGTGAAATTTGGGTCAATTACTTTTCGTGAGAAGTTTGTGGTGGCCAATGTTACAACTCCACTGTTGTCCATGGGTAGGTTGCTCAAAGATGGTTGGAGTGTTTCTCATGAAGGTGGACAAATGCGGTTGGTCAAGAACAAGCGGTCTATTCCTTTGCATTTTAGGCGTAACTCACTTTGTGCGTTTGGTGAAATCAGAATGTTTGCTGCGAAATCTACAGATGAAATGCCAGGGTGTGAGCCAATGCATGTGAGAGCGGTGAACCTTGGGCCTAGCTTGGCCAATTTGGGCAAAGGTTGGGTTAAGTTGAGTGATGATGTTGTGGCTGTACGCAGCCGTTCTTTACAGCATGTTGATACTACTTTTGCTCCAACAGATGCGTTGCTTTGGCTGCGCACCACGTTGGTGAAGTTCTCAGATGGTACTTGGCAGGTTGAAGAGTTCTGTCAAAGTATCAGTGATCTTGCTTCAAGGACGACGCCATTGACGGTGATCAAAGATGTGGTAGAAGTGATCACCATAGCCCACACGCAAGTAGTTTCTCCTGAAGTTCTTGGGTTTTCTGTTGTGGAAGAACCCACAAGTGAGTCAGCTTCAGCTTCTTCTTCATCTGCGCCTGCAAGAATGTCCAGTGTTCTTCCATTGCTTCCTGCAGCTGCACCTGCACAGGCAGTTGACCCTCCAGCTAATGTACCTGCGGCAGATGGTGAAGCAGAGCTGCCAGAAGCTGATAGACCAGATGCTGGTGATCCCAGAGAAGTTTATGTGAATGGAGTGAAGTTGGATACCAACACACCCTTGCGTGTTATCCGAGGTGCTTGCGAGTCCTTGGGTCTTTCACAGCGTGGGGGCAAAGGCACATGCTTAGAGCGTTTGTGGCGTCATTTGGAGTTGCAAGAATTGATTGCTGCGCAGGCAGCTGAAAGGGAGCTGAAGGGTGCACAAGAGCGTGTTCCTCAGACATCAGTTCCACCCAAAACACCAACTGATGAAGAAGTTTTGCGTCATCAACTTACCCATCAACCTTATCAAGCTTGGTGTGAGCTGTGTGTCTCGCACAGAGCCAGGCAAGATGCACATGTTTCTCATGAGAAACGCACAAGTGAGAGTGACAGGTCTTTGGTGAGCTTTGACTTTGGCTACTGCACCAGGCTGGAAACTGATGGTAAACTTTGCGGCCTCTTCATTCACGATAGCTGGACAGGAGCTATGCACTGTGTTCCAACTCCTCAGAAGGGAGGCCGACATCTTCCACATCTTTGCACAGAATTTTGCAGGTTCATTGTTTGGCTTGGGCATGAGAAGATTGCACTTAGGTGCGATAATGAGCCATCAACTTTGAGTTTGTTGGAGGCAGTTCGAAAGGCTTGTCGAACCATGGGCATTGGTGTTGATGTTGAGACTGTTGTCCCAGCAGATCATGCAGCAAATGGAGCAGCAGAAACAACTGTGAACGTTTTGAGGAGACTTGCTGGCGTGTTTGTGACTCAGATAGAGAAGGCGCTTGGCATTGGTATGACAATTGGTTCAATGCACCCTTTGTATTCTTGGTCTTTGGTTCATGCTGCATGGATATACAATAGGTTCACGGTTAGACATGGACAAACACCATATGAGCTCTGCAGTTCACGTATGTATACTGGTAAGATAGCCCTGTTTGGAGAAGCAGTACTTGGTTACCTGCGTACTTCCCAGAAAGCAGCACCGTGCTGGACTAAAGGCTTGTGGTTGGGCAAAGCGCTCAACAATGACGCGCATGTGATTGGTGTCCCAGGTGGGAAAGTGTTTGTGACTAGAAGCATCAGAAGGTTTTCAGAACGTTGGGATGCCAAGCTCATTGCAGACTTTGAGGCTTGCACTTGGGAGTATGGGCTTGCAGCTCTGGGCTCTCAATTGGTTGCAGCAAAACGTATCGCAGGACCACAGCCTTCAACTCCAGTTCCATTTGCTGTTGCTTACGCTGATGACCATGAGGCTTTAGCAGTACATGGTATTCCTGGCACTCCTGAACAGGATGAGGGCATTTTGCTTGGTCCACAGACTATGCTGCGGAGATCTTTGCCTCCTCCTCCTCAAGCCGTTGCGGCTGAGGCGGGGCAAGAAGCTCATGCTGGTGATGTGACAATGGTTGAGACACCCCAAGCAGTTGTTCCTTCAACTCCTCTTGACTCTCAAGGACTTGATGTTCCTAGCACTCCGAGGGCAGACATCTCAGAGCATGTTCATGATGCACTTGAGTCAGATCGTCCATCGAAAGCTCCTCGCATTTTAGCCATTCAAGGTGTTGACCACGAGGATGAGGACCCGCCTATTGTTCTTCAAACCCCAGACCTCGATGGGCTTGAAACTTATGATTACGACCTTGTGGATGAGTGCGAGGATGGTGAAGACATGTTGATTTCAGAAAACGTTTCTGACCTGCATATGTTGTGCATGTCATACACGCCACTTGAGCCAGAGTTGAGTGCCTCAGAGTTGTCAAAGCTTGATGCTTTGGCTGACAAGATGGAGTTGGACAGACTTCAGGCCATGGGTGTTTTGTTGCCAGTCGAATCTTTGATGGACCAGCATACGTCTTCAGATTCCACTTCTTGCTTCAAGAAATTGAGCACAAGAATGGTGCGCTCCTGGCGCGACAAGCGCATCAATGGAGAGAGAGTGTGGCTACGCAGGTCACGCTACGTGGCACGTGAGTTTGCCTGGTTGACACCAGAAAGGCAGGACTTGTTTAGCCCAGCTTCCTCAACATTGACGGTTCGTCTTTTACCAGTCTTGTTTTTGAAGCTTGCATGCAAGGGTTTTGTGCTTTGCGCCATTGACATTGGCGATGCCTACCTGACAGTGCCTCAAAAGGTGCCAACTGTGGTGAGCTACACAGACAACGATGGCAAACGTGTTGAATTTTCTCTTGGCCGTGTGCTTCCAGGCCAGCGAGACGGTGCTTTGCTTTGGCACGAGTCCATAACCAATTTTCTTTGGCAAGAGATGGGCATTGGATGCTGTGAAGCATATCCTTCACTGCTGAGGTCTGAATGTGGAGCTTGCATGATGCTCCTACACGTGGATGACATTCTTTGCTTGTGCACTCAGCAGTTTCTCAGTGATGTTTTGCGACCCACTTTGGAACGCAAGTACAAAGTTGCCATTGAGGTGATGCAGACTCCAGGTGATGAGATCACCTTTTTGAAACGAAGGCACCTTTTCATGGATGAGTTCAACATGTTGATTGAGAGCCACCCCAAACATATTGAACATGTTTTGGATTTGTTGAATATCCGGAGGCACTTTCAGCCAAAGAAGACACCAGCCCATCCTGAACTCGATGCCAACGATGTCACACATGAACTTGACGCTGAGCAGGCTGGCATTTACAGATCTGCAGTAGGTACGTTGCTCTACATTGCTCCTGATTTTCCAGACTGCCAATTCACCATTCGAACTTTGGCCCAGTGGATGGCTAAGCCAACAGTTCATGCTTTCAACTGCTTGAAGTACTTTGCAGGGTATTTGCTTGGTTGCACAAACCATTGTTTGCAGTTGACGTTTAGGCCACAACATGGGTTGTACAACTACTACGGTGACTTGATGGTTTTGGAGGTTTTCTGCGATAGCGATTGGGCTTCAAACAAGCGTACCAGGAAGAGTGTCAGTTCGTGTTGCATGATGTTACATGGTTGTTTGTTGCACTCGAGTAGCAGGACCCAGAGAACTATTGCTCTCAGCTCGGGAGAAGCTGAGACATATGCTGCTACCAGTGGTGGGTGCGATGCTGTTCTCCTTCGAGAGTGTCTTCTCTTCCTTTTTCCAAGTGATGAACTTGAGGTGAGACTTTTCATAGACTCCAGTGCTTGCCGGAGCATTCTGCAGAGACAAGGCGTGGGAAAGGTCAGACATTTGTCAACCAGATGTCTTTGGATGCAACAGTTTTGCAAGCGTGGTGTGTTTTCAGTTCACCCCATAGGGACCAAGTTGAATGTGAGTGACATTGGGACAAAACGACATCCACGTCCACGCATGCTCTACCTCATGTTTCTTCTTGGAGTGTATGATCAAGGTTGTTCCCAGCGTGTTGGCTCAGAGACCTATGACAGACTGACTTCTGAGACTTTGATTGCGTCTAGCGTGAATCAACTTCGTGCTACAGGGTTGCCTACTGGAACTTGCAAGTCACTTCTCCGAGTTCTTTTGGTAAGCGCCTTGAGCCCTATGGCAGATGCAATGGAGCTTTCTTCAAAGACTTCTCCTATAGTGGTCTTCCTCCTCACGATGCTAGTGATTGCCGTTGGTGTGATCTTCTGGCTTGGCTTGCGTGTTCACAGGTTGCAAGGTTCTTTGAACATGAAGTCAACACTTCTTGAAGTGATGAAAGTGTTGCATGACAACTTGAAACTCAAGGACCTTGAAGGTGAAGAGTCAGAGGAAAACAGTGATGATGAAATGGAAGAATCCCCAAATGCCCGACATCAGCGCTATCAAAACGCTGAGGACATGAGCCAAGTTTCTGACCCAGATGAGTGGTGTGAGATGCACTATGGCCCGCGCTTTGATGACAGCGGAGTGGAACGTGAACTTGGTGAAATGCATGCTGCGTTGAGGACCCGTCTTGAGAGGCTGGAATGTGAGTGGGATGAGGCACAAGTCCTTAATGACTTGGAAGCCATGCACCAGCTGGAACTCCAAATTATGGAAGTCAGCGCAATGCTTCCTAGGAACTCTTGATTTGTGTGGCCCTTGACGCATTGAGTGGCAGCTATTTTGACTTTCCTGATTTCAGTCTCACTGGAATCTCCCGTTCAACTGAGGCGGGGGGAGTAAATTTGACGCTTGATGTTGCCCCATGCGCAAGGATGACACTGCACAATCAAGAGAGTGTAACAAGTTTATTTCACATTGCATGTACAGTGAAGCCTGATTCCATAGGCGCTTCGGATCAAAAGATGTTTTCAAGAAGTCTCTGAAACCGTTTTCCAGAGTGGGCAGAGCGCGCAGAAGCTCACGGAAGATAGTCAAGAGCAAGTTGGGGGCAGCCTGGTTGCTGTCCGATTTGCTGACAATCGGGCAGCAGGGTTCGATCTTGGAATTGACCAAGAATGGGATGAGCGAGACTGTTTGCGCACAATTATTGAAGGTTACAACAACCATCTTGTGCACCAAGCTGTGATGCCCACCTTCACCCCGGTTGGGCCTACCCGAGAGTTGATAGGTTGCGTGGAGCGAGGTTTGTGGCCCTCAAAGTTTTCTCCAGCCACAGTCAGTGTTGATGAGTTGCACAGAGTGGCAACCATGGAAAGGAGTGTGTTGCATCAGCAGTTTGCGGGTGCTGTGCCATACGCTGATGTGTGGCACAAAGCTAAGCATGCAAGATCACCACTGACAAATCGCTCCGGCAAGGTCACTACTCCAACCACTATCCCTCCCAAGATGTTTCCTGCAGCAAATTGTAGACGCCCCGGCAACCTCAAAGCTTCAGGACGCGTCAGTCGACGCACCCTAAGAATTTCAAGCAAGGACTGGATGAGCTCACGTCGCCTAACATCAGTGTTGCCGATGGTCACCAAGCCACCGTGTCGTGCACTTACATTGACCAGCACGCCAAGCGCTTGAAACGCCTCGGCAAAATCAGGTGCCTTTGCGGACTCAGCAAAGTCCCAACCAACCAACTTGAAGAACATGTGTATGCAAGAGGTGAATGCATTTGTCTCTTCCAAGAACTACATAATCGTCGAAGTAGTTGGTGGCCAGGACCAAGAATTCCCTGACCTAAAGAAACCACAAGCTAAACGAAGCGCGTAAAAACGAGTGGACCGATCTGACAGCTTCAAACGGGAGGGCCCGTATCCGAAAAGCAAAAATCTCTTGAGTGGTTGGGTGCTGAACTGCTATAAGGGCATACCGCCGTGACGACGGTCTGACTGCGCACTGTCTGTACGCCCCAACCAAATCAAACGTCCTGCCCTTCCATCGGTGGTGCCCCTGAAGACCCCATGACCATGACACACAAGGCTCCAAAAACGTCCAAAGTATGTGGCTTTGGGCTTTCGCTCGTTTGGACGCAACTGTTCACTGCAGAGCGTGTGAAGTCGTCTGTGCAGCGCAGCTTTGGACCCTGTTGGATCCCAAAGCGCTTGCGCTTGCTCAAGGGATAGCTTTCAGGCACATCGCACAACTTGATAGGGCCAACCAGTGTGCCAGCCTCAACTTCTTCCATTATGGTTGTGGCACCCCAAAGCTGGATGAAAGGTTGGCAAACTGCAAAGGGTAAAACCTAGGAATTAGGTAGCTATAGATAGCTAGGCAGTTCACTAGGTAGAGACGGCATGGCATGACAACAGCTCATGACCGCAGCCCCTTTTGCACAACCGTGCACTCAAGGAAGGAAAAAGGTGCCACTGTGTCGGCAGCTTGTCCAACTAGCGGGGTAGGTAACTTGTGAGAGCCCAATACGCTGACCACTACCAGCTTTGCTTTTGCATGGTAGCGGAGCTGCGTGGGTAGCCCCACCGCTCCAGGTCAAAGAGCGGGCAGCTCCGCCGGCCAAGGCCGCGGGCAGCCCCGCCCAAACTGAGGACAAGCCTACGTGGCCAAGGCTGCGTAGGAGAGTCCAAACAAAACGGCTTCTCGGGATAACACCTGGGAATCCTGGAATAGGTCGACCCCTTGGGACGACCGTGACTGGCAAGCTCAGGACTGGGCAAGCCGTGGCTGGGTAGACTACTCCCAGCAAGAACCCAGAGCTCCTGCAACAAGGGACGCTGGGGCAACCACTGACAACAGTTGGTGGGGACGAAGCCGACCAGACACGAATCGATCTCGAAGCAGTCGATTCGCCCAAGAAAGGAATCGGCGAGGACATCGCTCAGTGGCCAGGACAGACGCCAGGATCCAACGGGGTCAAGAGCGAAGAGCCGCACGTGAGGCGGCAGACGCAGCAGCAACAACAGCAGGGTCAGGCCAGTCCACGGACGCGCCACCTGCTGAGCCAACACCGGCCGACCCATCGGCCGATCCACCAGCCGATCCTTCGGCTGAGCCAGACCCACCGGCACCAGAGCCGGGGTCAGTGCCATCTTCGGCGCTGGACATCGGGTCAACACCCGACGCACCCGACGTGCCTCAGACCAACCTAAGGGTGGAAGAGGCCAAGAGGGAAGTGCGGGTAGATCCGCCTCCGGGACGCGCTGCACTCGAAGCAGACGAGCGCGCACCGGTGAAGTTGGTCCCACAAGCTGATAGGGCCAGCTCAAGGGCTGCAAGGAAAAGAGCCCGACTTCAGAAGGACTTGGACGAAGCCAAGCAGGCGATTGATTCGTCTGAAGCCCCAAGCCTCTCGATAGAAATCCTGCAAGACGCAGGCATAGAAGTGGTTGACTGGGAAGCTGACATCTCAAGTGAAGAGAGCTTTGAGATCTGCGTTCCAGACCCTGTATTTCAGGGCAAGGATCCAGCTGACATCCCACAGCCACACGTGGAGTCAGCAAGCAGCTCCAAGGAGCCGCTGCAGAAGTTGGCCGCACCTCCGCTGTACGCAGCGGAAGCCCCCGCGCGTGCGAGCCAGCTCACTCCAACAGTCAAGCAAGAGTTCAATAAAGCTCTTGACTTGTGTGAACAAATACAAGGGGCTTTGAGCCAAAGCCAGAGTGACCACTACGAGGTGGTAGACGAGAGACCACCAAACTGCAGAGAAGAAGATGGAGCAGCAAGCCGCGCAGATCCAACTGCAGATGAAGGCTCTAGCGAGTCAGGTTCAGGCCTTGACTACCGCTCAGCAGACCCAACAACAGGTGAATGCGCAGCTGCAGCTCGAGAAAGAGCAGCTGGAACAACGCCTCAACGTCGCGTTGGGACAATTGCAGCAATCCTTGCAGAACGGAGGCGCAGCAGGCGCAGTTCCCCAGCCCAGCGCGGGGAGCTCCGCCGGCACCAGTAGACCCGTCAGTCATATAGACGTGCTCAAGTCTGTGAAGCAGCCTCAGTCCTTAAAGGACAGGGAGCAGTGGGAACGCTTCACCTTTCAGGTGGAAACCTATCTGGCACTGATCAATGAAGAGTTTCCCACAGACTTGGAAGAGGCACGCAAAAGCACCACGTTTGTGGACCCTGTGGATATGACTGATGACTGCAAGGCACGTGGCAGACAGCTTTTTGCCATGCTGACTTCCTGGACCCAGGAGTTAGCAGTAGCTGTGAAGATAGCCCGTGGAATTCGAGAACAGAACGGTTTTGAGTTTTGGAGGCTTCTGTACCGAGAGTTAGCCCCAGATAACCACTCGAAGAATCTGATCTGGAGACGCTCGCTGCTTAGCCCAAAATTTCCCAAAGAGACGGAATTTTCTGCGGCGCTCCAAGAGTGGGAGGCCGACTTAGACAGGTACGAAGCCGAATACGGCGCACAGAAAGCAATAAGTGATGAAGATAAACGTGCCGTAGTTCTGACCGAAGCTCCAAATGCCCTGAAACAGCACCTTTCCATGCACATAGCCACGCTGAGCACTTACCAAGCTGTGCGCGAAGTGGTGGTATCATACTTGCAAGCCAAGCAGGTATGGAAGCCATCGGCCGCGTATGCGGGTAGCACCGCACGCAGTGATCCCATGGAGATTGGGCTCGTCCAATACAAGGGAAAAGGTAAGGACAAAGGTGGCAAAGGAAAGGAGGGCAAGAAGGGCAAAGGGAAGGATCAGAAAGGAAAAGGGAAAGACACCCACTCGAAAGACAAGGGTGGAAAAGATCAAGACAGCAAAGATCGCTGTGCAATCTGCTGGAAGGCCGGCCATACCACTGAGAAGTGCTGGTTCAACACAAAAGGTCAGGAAAAGGGAAAGGGTAAGAAGGCAGTAGCAGCCGTGAATGAAGGTGACAATGCCTCCATTGTCTCGGCTGGTCCCTCGGCATCGCAGGTTGGGGGCAACAACAGCGTCATCACTCTTCCTTCCTCGTCTTCGACGTCGTACAGAAAAGACAAGAACGTCAGTAAGATCGGGGAACACCGACTTCTCATGGTAAAACCCGGCCACAGCGGGCAGCACCGCGTGGAATCAGTTTCACCTCAAGCCATTTTGGCAACCCAAACGGCTGGCAGCACAGTAGTCAGCCAACACCAGCAAAATGCCATTTTGGCAGAACAGGCCATTTTGGCCAAGTGGCAGGCCATTTCGGACTGCAAAGACAAACCAGGCTGGCATGACCTTGACACGGACACCAAGGTGTACGTGGTACGGGGGAAAGCTGGCACCCAAAGGAGGTATGTCACACCCGGGCCTCAATACTCAGATTTCACTCTGAGGTCCACCTGGCAATGGAACTATGCCGCCGATGCATGGGAAACCAGGGAGCTTGGAAAGAAATGGAAGCTTCTTCAAAACCCACATAAAGCATTTGCGGGAAGCAAAATATGGGCATTGCATGCTTTCCAGAGAAGCACGCCCAAGATAGCCAGGGTAGCGAGCAGAGGCACGCTATTGGTGGACACTGGAGCATGCTGTTCGGTCTGCACCCCTGAGGCGTTTCAGACAGCAGACCTCGACCCAAGCGCCACAGAGGAGCTCTACACAGTAGATGACACACCGCTGAAGGCGTGCGGGGAGATCCGCCCCAAGTTGCGACTCGGAGAGCAGCTTCAGGAAGAGGCACAGGTCACCTTTCAGGTGGTCGAAGGTGTGAATGAGAACATCCTGTCAGTCAATCGAGCCCTGGACGTTGGAGCCAGCGTCCACTTCGAAACTGACAACTGCTACATCCAATGGGCAGATGGCAGCATCGCCACGTTCCGGCGAGAAGGGAGACAGTTCCTGTTGCCCTACGAAGAGCTGGATGGCGGAAAGGGCCGGATGAAGGTCGCAGCCATCAACCCCGAGGATGAAGAAGCAATGGCAGTTCACCGCCATGCACTCCAGGAAGATGAGGAAGCCGACGCTGTGCGAGAGTTCGCCCAGCAAGAAGCGGACGCCGCCATGCAGGCGGAAGATCCCGGCCTGCTGGCCGACTTGGAAGAAGCGGCAGACGAGCCGGAGCCGCCTGAACCAAGAGGGCTACCTCAGCCGGAAAGCCCCACAGAAGAACAGCGACAGCAGCATCGGTTAACTCACCTGCCATTCGCGCCATGGTGCGAGGAGTGTGTGAGCGGGAAATCCCGCCAAGACCAACACAAGCGAGACCAGTCGACAGAACGAGATCACGGTGTCTCGGTTGTCCAAATGGACTACTTCTTTCTGTCTCCAGAACGGGAAGAAGAGGTAGAAGACGAATCTCGTCTTGTGACCATCTTGTGTTTAACCGATACCGGCACCGGATGGCCATTGACACTTCAACTCCCCAACAAGTCTGTGGAGGTGGCTCAGTCAAAATACTGCCTGCAGAACATCGACCTCTACTTCAAGAACTTGAGGTATGACAAGATCATCCTCCAGCACGATGGCGAACCCGCCATAAGAGCCCTTGCAAACAGCATCCAACGCCATGTGGGTGCATCCAAGGTCTCTGTGCGGGAAGCTCCGCCGAAGCAACACCAGAGCCAAGGAACTGTGGAGTCGATGAACGGATTCGCAGCTTCGCAAATCCGGACTCTGTGGTTAGATGTCAGGCAGAGGTATCCTGAGCTGGACGTGAGCAGCAACCTCACGCCATGGCTTGTGCGCCACGCGGCGTGGCTCATAGCCAGATACCACACGCGCAGCAGAGATGGCATGACGCCATACAAGCTGGTCACAGGAGGTGACTACAACCATCCTGTAGCCACATTGGGAGAAATAGTGCTTGGCAAGGTGCCGAGCCCCAAAGGCAAGATCCAACGCCGATGGATCAAAGGAGTGTGGCTTGGAAAGCTGGACAGGGACGACAGCAATGTGCTTGGCACAGCGTCAGGTGCAATCGCTGTGCGGTCCATAAGGCGACTGCCCAAGGAGGGACAGATCAGCTCAGAGCTGATGGCAGCCATGAAGGGAACCCCTTGGCAGCCCAGATCTAGCGGGTGGCCCCGCAGACGTCAGTCCCGTTCCAACAACGCCAGCGGAATCCGAGATTGCAGATCCTCCGCCGCCCGAGCACGGGCCGAGCGGGTCTCCACCGCCCTTTCGGGGAGCGGGATGGTCCTCAAACTTGCAAAGTCTTCCCAATGAACCCATGAGTCCATCTGGATTGTGGGCAGGAGGGAAACGAGAGAGGGCTAATCCGGGAGAACTGAAGACCGGCGAAGCTGATGCAAAGCAGCCCCGGCAAGCAGGGATCTTGCAGCACTTGACAACCAAAGAGATCTGGGAGAAAATCCAGCAATGGGGAAACTCAGAAGAACCGAACAACCCAACAGCGATCCAGCGAATTTCAAATGTGACAGAATTCGTCGATCAGATGCTCGACCCTGAGGAGGTATCCAAAGCCCGAAAGGCACAACTGCGAAAGCTGTGGGAGCGAGGAGCGTTCACTCCCATCCACAGAAAAGACATACCCCAGGGATCGCAGCTTTTTGGTCACAAATGGGTAGACAAGTGTTCACGAGGGACTTACAAGTCGCGCTTCACATGCGCAGACGTCAAGGCGCGATACACCCAAGAGCAAGAGGCTGAGCTGGATGTTTTCGTGCCAACTCCAACTCCTGAGTCTCACAATGTCTTAGAAGTATATGCCCTCATGAACAAGTTCTACACGAGGAGCTTAGACATAGTCGCAGCCTTCCTCATAGGAAGGGACCGGGGCGCAGCACAAGGCAAACCGGTCTATGTCCGAGCACCCATCGAATGGTGGGATCTCTTCCTCGAATGGCTCGAAGAAGTCAACCCAGCGGATCGGCAGTGGTACAAGGATCGGTTCGAAGAAATGTGTTTCCGGCTGGATGGAAATCTCTACGGTCGAAGAACGGCCGGATCTGTGTATAGAAACGAGCTAGAAGAGATAGTGTGCTCGCGGGTAGACCCGCAGCGGTATGCCTTTGTCAGGGGTCAGAAAGATCCGTGCATTTTCCGGTGCACCAAGACTGGCATTGTACTGCTGCACCATGTGGACGACATCCGCGCAGCAGGACCTTCAGAGGCCCTAGCGCATCTCTTCGAACAAGAACTACCGCGACACTGCGAAGTGCAAGCGGGAGAACTCGAAAAGGAGGGAACGGCAGTGGAATACCTGGGACGCACCAAAGTGCGCAGTGAAGATGCAATCCTCACCATCCCAGACGAAAAGCACAGGCAAGCCGTGATCTCCGCAGCGGGTATCTCCGCGCGTGACAGGAGTGAGGTTCCGTCCAAACAATTGAACCTTCTGGAAACCACTCCCCTGTCCGAAGAAGAAGCAAAACGCTATCGCAGCGCAGTAGGATCCGCGATCTACCTGAGCTTGGATCGCAGAGATATACAATATGCTGTGAAGGAAGCAGCGAGACACATGTCGCAGCCAAGGCAGTGTGACATGAAAGCTGTGAAGACACTTGCAGCATACCTGCAAACTCACCCCACGGTTGGCAGGGTGGTAACATGTGATCCGCCAAGTGCGACTGGCGAATGGAGCATAGAGTTGTATTCCGACTCAGACTGGGCAGGGTGCCTCGAGAGCCGGAGGAGCACCGACTGTCATGTGGCAGTAGTCTGTGGAGCTGTGGTTGCTTGCACAACCCAGACGCAACCCGGACTGCCAGCTACTAGCAGCCCAGATGCGGAACTAAGAGGTGTATCCAGAGCAGCCAGAGAAGCAATCTACTTGCGCGATCTCATCACCTTAGATTTTGGCCAACTGTGCGGGAAGCCCCGCCTATGGACCGACAGCTCGTCGGCCATGCAGGCAGCGAAACGCATAGGTCCAGGAGCCAAGTTGAGGCACCTGGAAGTCTGTGAGTTTTACGTGCAAGGAGCGATCCAGTCAAAGCAGCTCGCTTTGGGAAAGGTGAAAGGAACGCTCAACTGTGCAAACTTTCTGACGAAACATCCCAAGTCAGGGACAGAGGTAAAGCAAGCCCTACCTGGATTTGGTATGTACGAAGCTCGCGACGGAGAGGATGTGTTATCATCCACAGAACGCATCTCTGTCAAGGTCTCGACTGTGACCAAGCAGCATGCTTGGAAGACTCCGGTCCCAGCAAGCGTTGCTTGGATCGAAAACAGAAAGGACCGAGCGGGTAGCACCGCCCCGAAAACAAAGGGCAGTGTGAACTACATCAAGTCGTTGGTGATTCTCAGCCAGATCACCGCAGTGCGAGCGCAGGGACAAGGAAGTCAGTGGATCAATCCAATTGTCCTGTACATCCTCGCGCTCATAGGCTTGTTAGCCATCTATGTGAAGCTGTATCAGCTAGGAGTGCTGATCACAGACTGGCTTTTCCCGCCTGAAGGCGAAAATCATCTTCCCGAACAACCGGTTCAAGTTGAAGGAGCCGAAGTGCAACTTCAGCTGGATAGCGCTACGGTGCGCCTCAACATCACCGCCTACCGAGACGGTAGACAGCTGAACATCAGCCAGACGGTGAATGCGCCAGCGGCAGCCCCGCGGCAAGGTTCCGCGGAATCCCCGCAGCCTCAACCGGCGGAAACCCCGCGGCAGGAGGAACTAACTCCTAGTCGCATCGAGCGCTGGTCAGAGGAACAGTGGGTGCAGAGAGGGGCAGAAAGCAACATGACCCTCCAGGAGCTGATCGAATGGCGCAGGCGCGAAGAAAGGCTGATTCATGGGCAAGACCCAGACTCCAGCCAAGATGAACCAGGTGAGTCAACTTCGCACAGTGCGGACAGCCCCGCCTCTGAGCGGGATGTACCGCCTGAGCGGGAGGAACCGCCTGAGCGGGTAGCACCGCCCGAGCGGGCGGAGCCGCCGATCTCCAGTTCCGGCCCGGAGCTCTTGACGGGAGACCCAGCCATTGAGCGGGAAGCTCCGCTAGATCCCTTTGATGGGATGAGTCCAAATGAGCTCCAGCAGTGGCGCGAGGCCGAGAACAGAGTTCTGGGGATCGAAGGCGGCAGCTCCAGTGGCGGCAGCCCTTTCTCTGGCCACAGCTAGCCAGGAGAGGCAAAGCTACGTCTCACCAAGTAAGCCCGGCAGTGAGCCATGCCACTCTAAGGAGGGTGGCAAACTGCAAAGGGTAAAACCTAGGAATTAGGTAGCTATAGATAGCTAGGCAGTTCACTAGGTAGAGACGGCATGGCATGACAACAGCTCATGACCGCAGCCCCTTTTGCACAACCGTGCACTCAAGGAAGGAAAAAGGTGCCACTGTGTCGGCAGCTTGTCCAACTAGCGGGGTAGGTAACTTGTGAGAGCCCAATACGCTGACCACTACCAGCTTTGCTTTTGCAAAGGTCCTTGCGGTTGCACCTCAAGCTCTTGGAGTTTGGCAGGCCACGTGAGCTACGTCCCACCTCGAACAGTGTGTGGTTCCTTCAGACTGATGCGTCGTATGAACCGTCCTCGGACAGGATTTTCTCAGGCATTGGTGTAGTGCTCTTTGACCCAACAGGTAGACCCGTGCAATTTTTCTCCAAGCAGTTAACTTGTGACATGGTGCAATCCTTGAACCCTTCTGGCAAAAAAAATGCCATCTTCGAGTGTGAATTCTTCGCTCTTTTCTGTGCCTTTTATGTTTGGGGCGATGTCATCTCGAATGCCTTGGTGATATACACTGACAACACGCTGTCAGGGATGGGTTCGCCAGGGTACCCACGGATTCAAATACGGCCGATGGGCCATCAAGGCTGAAAGTTGAACACCTGTTGAGTCTTGGTGTATACAATTGTGACTTGGATGTTTCTCGTTGCTGGGATGCGGTGCTGGCCTTTGCCGATAAGTGGGGAGAACAGGCCAGCATCGATATCCCAGCTTGACAAGGATGCGTGTGTATGCATCTTGGATTTCCACTTCACATTGATGTGCAACTTGTCAGTATCCTGTGTTCACTGCAGCCTGTGGTTCCAAGAGACATATATAATCAAACGGTCATAGCATGATTGTGAATTATGACTTGAAGGAAGAAGCGTGTGCGCTTCAGCAGGCTGGCTCAACGGTGTCGCTTGAATCAGTCGTCAGTCATGTCTTTCATGTGACATTTTACAACGCAGTTGAACATTGTTGTGAACAAGGTTTCAGTCAGAACATCTCTTTGTTTCTAGCGCTGCAAAGTTGCCCCTCCCTCAGCCGCCCAAACTGGCACTTTGCAGCGCTAGAAACTCCTTGCGTCGTCTTGCAATTTCATGGCAAGCATTGCCACCATTTATCATGGCAAACATTGCCAAACCCTTAGCTTGAAGAACAGGCCAGCATCGATATCCCAGCTTGAAAAGGATGCGTGTGCATGCATCTTGATTTCCACTTCACATTGATGTGCAACTTGTCAGTATCCTGTGTTCACTGCAGCCTGTGGTTCCAAGAGACATAATGGTTTGAAATTTGGGATTTTCCCATGATTCGTAAATTCATTTCACCGCAATGTTTATCATTGATTTTTTGAAAGTGTATAATAGTATATCATGAGTATTCACCGTTGCCAAGACTATTTTTGGTGTCCACCATCCTGAGACAAACCCAAATGAACAAACTCAGCATTTTCGTGGTTGAATCCCAGTTTCGGAAGTAAAAACAACATTGCTTCATTGTTTGCCAGGAAAATCACCTGACATTTGAGATGATGGACCTCTTTAGCTGTCTTGATGGCGGTCCATGGGCCTGACTCGTTCATGGCAGCGCCCCACAACATGGAACTCTGCGATCGACGCTTTAGACACTCGACGGCGCGGGAACAGTTCCATGGTGCGGGGAAAAACGGTGGTGAACCCAACATTAGATGGGAACTTATGGGATTTTTCAGGGATGTTTTACAAAATATTTATGGGATATTGATTTGTGGGATTTTTATGGAATGATTGCAATGAACCATTCCCAATATGCCCAAACGGGTGGTGGTATGTTTACATGTTTGTTGTGTGTCTGGCATTGGTGTTGTTGTGGATGCAGATTCATGGCACCCAAAAAATGGAATGGAACGTGGAACCGTGGAACCCTTGCTCTTGTTGGGTTGCAAGACTGGTTTAGATATGGGGCATATATTGGATTTTTTAATCCCATGGGATCCTTTGGATTTTTGTTTGCTGGTGCTTAATGGTGAATTCCGTGTTTTTGATGGTCAAATCTTGATTCTTTGGATTGGTCCCCAGTTTTCGGTGGTTAAGTCCCAATTTTTCTGCTGGGTAAACCACCAAGTTGCCGGGAAAAACTCTAAGTGAAATGCCCACATGAGGATCCCAAACCACTGAATCACCAGATTCCTCAATATTTGGCTTCAGTTTTTTTGTGAGGCATGTCTCGAGTTGGAAGGCTTAGAAACTTCCCCACGCGCAGTGGGGGGAGCTGCAGCCCGGCTGGCGAAGCAGGGGCAATGGGTGACTTGGCCAATTTTGGGCGGTTTTGGCTGTGGGGGACTTTAAACATGTAGAGAATAGGTTGGACTGAAATTGTGAGCCTTTAAATTTATGTAAATCGACTGGTCAAGCATGATGGGTTTCCAAGGATGGGCCCAGATACACCATTTAGGGGCACCACGACAACAAAATCCTCCAAAAGAGGGGGAGTACAATACCGGGGGATGAATCAGCCCCGCAAGAACAACAACGGCAACAGCAACAGCAACAACGACAACAACAACTACGACAACAGGTACTGTGCATGATGGGAATATCCCAGGAATCCAAGAGCAAAAGCAGAGACAACAAACATGAAAAACAAAACATGTCAACAGGGAACTTTCAAATGAACATTCAAGGCATTCCTTTGAAAATCCTTTATGTCGTTTCAAATTCAGCATATGTCAAATTCAACATCTTTTATGTCATGACTGCATTTTCTTGGCCGCATCTTTTCAATGCCAGTTTCTGGTCTGCTATCAGATCTGTATCACATCAAGGGCGAACGAATTCAGGCTCAAGGTACGCCCTTCAAGTGGCTGGGGTACACTTCAGCCCTGTCGACAGAAAACCCATCATTTTTAGAAGGTATTTCTTATAATGATTCATAAATCATTGGAAAACCCATCATTTGGGGAAGGGATTAGCAGTTTTTTCAATATTTTTTTTCAATTTTGGAATCATTGATCCATCGTGCAGGTGAGGCTGTTGGAGCTGTTGGTGATCAAAAGTTCCAAAAACTTCCAACCAGATCTGAGGATGCTTGGACCCATTGGAGAGGTGAGAGGTGGGATGGCTATCGATAGATCGAGGATTCGATCATAGGAATCATAGGGAAATCATAGGGAAATTATGAATGATGGGATGGATATTCACTTACTGATTACGAGAATTGAATCATGAGGATTCAACCAAGCGGGATGTAGTTGATATAAATATAGGCTGGGTAAATTATATTGCGACCTAGCCTTGGGCGACCTCATGGGGCTTAAGGGATTTCTTCCCCACGATGGTGTATTTCCCAGAGAATGATCATCACTTTCCCTGGGTCAAAGCTGGGTATCGCAACGTTGGATGGATTACAAACGGGTAAAATATGATCGAGCCATCTCAATGTTGGTAGCGACATAGTTTCGATCGGAGGGTCAAAATTAGAGGCCTCCTGCAGGTGAACAGACACGTGCCCACTTATCAATGGCTGGCCATTAGTTTGTCAAACACAAAATGTCAATTGACCAATCTAAGAGGTTACAGGAACAAATTTGCAGGAAACACCCCTCATTTGTAATGGAAAACACACCTGACAAGCACATCATCATAGGCGTTATCACATGGGCTTGTCTCAAAAAAAATGTCCCACAAAATCCAACTTATTGACAAACAGCCAATAATTTTCGGTAATTTCTACCCCAATGAAGGAAACTCTCCCCATTTTTTTCCGGCTCCCAGCTGAGGATTGCTGGCTGCTGTCTCTGGAGCCCCTGGCCCCATGCCCTGCATCTGCTGGCGCACCTGGCGTCGAACCTGGCCGCGGCCAGCGATGCGGTGCTGCACAGCAGCGCCATGAAGACATTGGGGAAGCGCTGGCGACGAGTGCTGAGGCTGTTGGAGGAGACTGGGCCAGAGTTGAAGGCAGAAACATGAGAGAAATCATGGTAAACTATAGGACTCAGTGGATGGGTGGTGAGAAGAAAACAAGTGACAGAAAACAGGATTTTTCTCAGTGGGTCCAGGTTTGAGATGATTCTTCTTTGACCCTGGAATTTCGTTTTCTTTTTTGCTGGATGAAAACAAATCCATAGGAATCCAAAGAACGGGATGAATAAAACATGATATTTAAAAGAAGGGAACAGACAATCAATATGACATAAGACATAGACATATATGATTTCAAATGACCGGAAAGGGCAAGAACAAGCTTTGAAAGGCAACATAAGTATGCACACCCAGGGAAATCAACATGAAACAACATCAGTTGGACCGTTGGACCCAGCCGTTTGTATTCTTTGTCATTCTTGGTTTTGACTATTGTACTGAACGTTGATGGGTTTAGTTGAACTATAAACCAAAAACGTCCTGAGACTTGGACATCGTGATTTGGTTCAGGAGCCCGGCTACCAGCTGAACCACATCCACCTGAGTCTCCTTATGGTATCCTCCAGCCACGACAGCCACGACAGCCACGACGGCCCCGACGGCCACGACACCTGGCGCCTGGCGACATCTCTGCTGCCTTGGTGGCGACAGCGGGGCGCCGCTGATGGACCCATGGTGAGCTCTGGCATCGCTGCGTGCAACCAGGGAAGGTGGGAGCGAAACGAGGGTGAAACGAGGTGAACCCGGCCAGGCTGAAAAGAATTCAGTGTGAGCCTTAATGTTCTGCTTGGATGTATATTATAATGATTATACAGTATACATATATATATATATATTATATACAACTGTAGGAAATCTCTTTCAATTATCACCATTTCTGTTGTTTGACCCAAATCTCAACCGTTTAAACTCCCATTGTCCCTCCGCGCCAGGCAATGGCAGTTGGGTGCCGCAATCTTTCAGGAGAACAGGATGCCTGGAAGATCCCGGGCCACCTCTGAAGTCATTGGAGCCTTTGACTTAGGTCCCAGGCAGTGTCTTGGCGCCAAATTTGGAGATCTTGAAACTGAGGGTTGTACGAGGCAAACTGACTTCACCATATCTGGAATATAGAGGGATTGAATCGGCAAATGTCGGAACTAGGATTGAAGCGTCAAATAGTATGAACTTTAATAAATTAGCGACAGCACTGTGACCTCGCGGTACATGATGGTTAAGGAAAACCATCCCCAAAGTAGTCTCAAATCAGGGGTTTCATGGAAAATTGGAAGATACGAACCAAGCACATTGTAGGTTAATCAGGAAAGAACCAACAAAATGGGGAAGTAAATGGACATCCAGAGCTATTGTGGATGGGTTCTAGTGGTTCTTGCTTGAGGCCTCACTATCAACCAGCGGGTTTGTGCCCATCTGCGGGGTGGCGAATGGCATTTCTTGTTGGAGGATACAACGCCTTTTAGATGGTTCCTGCAACCACCAAAAAAGATGAACCACTTAATTTACCACGGCATACTTTAGTAAGGTTTTACTTTTCTTTTTTTTGGGTTGCTATAAATTCAAATTTTAGATGGTCAATGTTAACCCTGGATTGATAAACAATGGCTATTGAGATTGGTACCACCCTGTTAACAAGCTGGGTCCTTTCATTACTGTTAACACGACAAACCTGACTATTAACATTGTTATTAGTTACTATTACCATTGATCATTATATACATTGGCACCCTGACTATTCACATCAATACTATCATTACTATGAATATTCACATTGATATCAACATTACTATTAGCTTATCATTGCTATTGACATGAACATTACTGTGAAGATTAACATGACTATTGCTATATTACAAATATTCACCTTACTATCCATATTCACATATTAGCATGAACATTATAAACATTGCTACTTGTGACTATTACTATGAACAACACGACTATTACTTATTACTATTTCACTATTATTACATAGTATTAACAGTAGTATCAAATAACATTACTTGTACTAATTATTAATTCCTATTCATATTACTGGTATTACCATAAACACTATTACAATTATTCACACTACTATTGTACTATTCCACTACTGTTACTATTATTATTCCAATATTAACTATTAACAGTAGGAATAATCGTAATAGTGTCTATAGTAATAGTAATAGTAATATGGAAAACTGCAGCAGTGAACTGTTACTATAACTATTGCTATTCCAATATTAACAGTAATAGTAAACATAATATTGTATTGTTACAGCTATTAACATTCCATTAATATACTATTAACTATTACTATTCCATTATTGTACTATTCCAATATTGCTGAACCCTCCGGAGGTGGCCCTGCAGCCTGGCCCTTTTTGCTTCCCTCTGCCACTGGCGCGGAAGCGTCAGAAGCGTCGACGTCGCCTGCCTCACGCGTGCCGTGGGCAGCGCGGAGCGGCAGAGCGCCTGGCGTGGCGTGGCAACCGGGGGAGAAAAATATGACAGCCAGGTGGTTTCACCTGAGGAGACCGAGTTTTTTTTTGTTGTTTTTGACTCCGAAAGTTTTGAGTTCCCTTGGGAAAATGAACTTTACCAATCTGATTGGGAAGTTTTGGAAACCTAAGCCCAGATGGACCCAGCTTGGCTAAGGAATTTCCTTGGACCTCCTTGCAAGAGGTCAGCAGTTCACTTGGGACTTGCTGACCTTCAATCTGGCACTGAACGTCTATGGTCGAAGCAACTGGCGTGCCTTGTATGGTGAAGTGGGATGAGTTGCCCTGAGTTGAAGACAGGTCAGGGCCGTGAGGGTTAGGGAGTTGGGCCCGATCTTTCCATTGGATGGCCATGGATTTGGCGGAATGGGAGGGGCTTTCTGACGTGGATTTGCACATCGTTTTGTCCTCTGTCTTTTGCCTTCCTGAATTCCATCACCCATTTCATGTGGATGTTGATCAGGCCATGGCTCCAAATGGTTGAATGGCGCAGTTAAAAGTCAATAGTAAAACCACCAGCCCTTGGTGGTTCCAACATGGGTCCCACGTGGTCCAGTCCTCAGGATCCGCCCTGGCGCTACTTTTCTCAACGTCTGATGGTCCCTCACCGGATGCCGTGTCCTATGGCTGCCTGGTGCAGACCTGTTGCAGGGCGCAGGAGATGGAGAAAGCCCAAGAGTTGGTGAAGGAAGCCGACAGCCAAGGCATCAGGGCTCTTGAGGCAAGTTTCACAGACAGATGTACAGCTTAAGCGTACATCTCCATATCTATCTATGTTTATCTATATAACTTTCATAGATGACATTCAAGAATGTTTAATATATGCCCAGATATGATCTATAACACATCCTCTTTATTTCATATCTCCCAGGTGCCTTGAGCCCCGTCACCTGGACCCTCCTGGCCTTGGGCGCACGCTGGTCCTCCGCCGCCCAGCTGCTGGCGGCCGCGCGGCAGCGGCGCCAGGTGGACGCCACGCTGCACCGGGCGGTGATGAGCGGCTGAGACCGTGAAATCTTGGGGATTTGGCCATGGAATGCCATGCTGGGTCCATGGAAAATGGGGACTGAAAAAATGGGGATGTTCCTTTTCAGTTGGGTTGGGATTGGGCAGGGTTCCGAAGTCAAGAGGTGATTTGCCATTTTTGGTATTGACCAACTACTGGAGGCCTGGAGACATCTTTGTTTTTGTCTTGCTGAGCTTGGCCTCAACTTTAGTGCATGCTTCGGGAACCAAATTCAAATTGGGTCACATCATTTTGGAGAAAGCGTGTGTGTGCGATGGAGGTGATGATGATTGGTCAAGCTATGGTGGTTTTAAAGACAAACATCCCCCACTCAAGAAATGAGAACACAAGACAATAGTTTGTTTCCTGACTGGATACTCTCCTATTTTTTCAGCCTCTGATTCAATTCTCACGTCATCCCAGCACTCCCTTCACTTAGCAGCTCAAGGTTCTTGCGAGGCACCTGGTCGCTGGCGTGAAGCACTTCAACTGCTGCAGCAGCTAGCCCCTGCCGACGCCACTGCGGTGGCTTTTGGTCACGCAACTGCTATGGTTGAATTCCAGTGGTGATATAGTACCAATTTAGGCTGCCACGATTTTGGTAGGGGATCATGGCAAAATAGACCATCCGCTTGATTTCGTCGATGTCATAGAGATGGAGTTTCCTGGGGGAAGCACGGGTTGTTTGGGGTTGGCTTGTGCGGAATGCCAGGAACCCCGAGTACAAGAGATTGCCCGGGGCTGAACACTGACATAGAACCCCGAAAACAGATTGGAAATGGCTTTGTGCTTGATATATGTAGCTGCTTTCGGGGTTGCATGTTGGGTTTCTGAGCTTCTGTTGATTGAATGCATTGTTGGACATGAAAAACCTTCACTTTGAATGGAACAGTCAATGGGATTTCAATGGATTTAAATAGGGAAATCTCCAGTAATGGGATATTCCAGTGATATACCAATGGATAGATTCCCTTCCAGTAGGACAAACATCATCTAGAGGATTAATGGGAAAATAGGATCCTATAGATGATGGGTGGCTAGTACATATCTATCTATATCTATCTATATCTATCTATATCTATCTATATCTATCTATATCTATCTCTATCTATCTATCGATCGATCTATCTATCTATCTATCTACCTACCTAGATTAGAAAAAAAACATACCTCTAAAATGGGCTAATATCCCCAATGAGATCACTAACCGAGTCACGAGGCTCCAGCATTGCGGCTTGTGGAGTTCCAACGTGGAAGGAAGCCTTGAGCCTGTTGGAAGTGGCAGAAACCAGGCGCGTCGGTGCCTTTCTGGAGCCATGGATTCTGAATCTTAGCATCGCACCATGGGGATTTTTATGGGATGTTTTACATGATGTAACGAATTTATTCGTGGATTTGAACATCGTTGGAATTTAATGAAAACTGAGAATGGAACTTAGGTCAGCTCAACTAAAGTGGTTGAGATGTTTATGGTCTGATCGATACCCAAATGGTGCGGGATAGCTGGCAGTCGCTGGTCTTGTCGTTGGCCGCGACATCACGCGTCCGTTTCCCATTTTCATTTGTCTCCGACCTGATCTATAGTTGGTGGAATTCCCTCATTCTAGTATACCCTCTGGTAATTTAACATAGCTATAGAAAATCACTATTTGTTATGGGAAAATCCACTATAAATGGCCATTTTCAATAGCTATTTTAACATAACCAGAGGGTATATTTTATTTGGCTTGTTGGTGAGACGTGTCACATGCTTTCTATGTTCCATCCCATACCATGGGATGATGGCCTCCTCTGAGGATCATTGACTTAGTGTTTCTTGTCAGCCCGATTTCGTTGTTGGTTAACACCATTCTTCCCAGCACATGAAGGAACAGTTACAGGAAACTCCACTTTTGGTAGAATTCATTGGAATTCCAGTGGCGATTTGATGTTTTCCCCTATAGTAACTCCAGTCACAGTCACAGATAGAAAAAATGGAACTCTGGAAACTATGGAGGAAACATCATCGAACGTTCACATCAGTCTTGGGGTACTTTATCCTTTTGTTATAAGTGGGGGATACAGCAAATTGCTGCAGAAACACTAACTTCCTACATGTCCAGAATTCCCTGGATTCCATTGGCTTCCTGTAGATTTCCCCCTATTTTCCCTTGAAACCACCCCAGTGCCCTGCTCGCCCTGCGCTACGGCGAGGCTTGTGCCGGTGGCATCCATACAACTGGCCGCCGCCCTCAAGACAGTTCTGCGCTGGCGGGTGGTGCTGGCACTGGAGGACCAGGGGTGAAGTGTGCAGCCAAGGTGTGAATCCCCTACTAAATCATGGTTGGGGGTGTTTAACATTTGGGGGAAGGGATTACTTACCAAATCTCAAGCCGTTTTTTTTTGAAATAATGCTAGAACTTGGCAAAGGGTGTTTCAAATGATGATGTTGGAGTGTGGGAGTAGAGGCTGTGACACGTCTGAGGTCCAAGCAGATCTAAAGCTTTTTGAGCCTCCACCCACGTATCACTCAACTTGCGGGAACCAACTCCAGGTTGTAACTCGAGGCAAGAATATCTGAGTCCCAAGTGGAGCACCGGCTGGTCCTTTGGAGGATGCCTATCACTGCGGGGACATCATCAGTTGCGAGCTGGCAGTCTCCAGCGCCGTGCTCGGAAGATCCTTTGTGCCCATTGGAAGGTGCGGTGGGAGTAGGAGGCGAGATGCCTCAGGATGTCGCTATTGTAGGATCCGGTTCAACGGGATTCGAAATCAGCACAGGGATGGGTTCATACCTGTGGGACCATCAGAATCCTGATCCATCATAAAGGCATTAGCTGTTTTGGTATGACAACCAGGGAAGTCCAAGGGTTTGACCGTTTGACCCATAGCTGCCATAGCTGTGAATGATGGATTGTCAGTGAGGCTCTTGGATGAAGCGACAGACTCATCCTTGGCGTTGATGAACTACCTCATGGGCTGTAATTTCCCTTCTGGCGCTGCTGGAAGCAGAAGAGTTGTGGCAGATGGATCAAAATGGTGCGGATAGACACATTTCATCACCTTCGTGTTTTGGCAGATCTTGTATGTTCTTTGCCGCATGGGCCATGTTTTCTTATCTTTTCACAACTGAATTGCTCGCGAAACTTCATTTGCAAGTTGAACACCGATTGAAAGGTGGCTGGTTGTTTCAAACCCATGACATACTAGAGACGAGTGACCCGGTGGTTATTTCTACGACCCACAACAATTTTTGGTGATGCACTAGATTCACATTCACTGTCACATGTCTGCATTGGATTTTGATACATAGTCACTCACATGTTAGCATGGCTGCTTCCTGTGCCATTTCCTCAGACGAGCCACTGGCAGACACAACTTGTCTTCAGCTTGCCCAGCCAACTGGACAAGGTCACAGTTTGGAGGATTGCCCCCACAGTTAGGATCCATGGTTAGAAGAAAGTGGGTGCGCCAGACATGACCTGGGACCTTGAAGGATTTAAGAGTTGTTGAGGTCATCAAAGCAGGATCTTTAGCAACAACTCATGGCTTCAGTTTGGAACCATGTCAGACAGCTTGGGGTTTCCCCATGGAAAATGGGGCTGCACAACATACCAACAGACTTCCAGATCAGCTGACACGAACATTCGACGCCTGGCACTGCCTGCCGATGATTTGTGGGACGAATGTGGTGGGAATCCCCGCCGGGGTCTCTCAGTTGGACTGGAAACTGACTGCTATGATTTTGGGAAACGCTGGCGTGGGTATGGTACAACTAATTGGGCCCAGAAAACATTGAACTGCTAAAAACGGCTAGCATATGTGCAAACATCCCTGGTTCTCAGCGCCTTCGGATTTGATCCGAAACGATGTCATTGATTGGAGGATTCATGTTTTTCTCCAACCACAGGAGAGTTCAGCGGAGCATCTTTTCGGGAAAATCTGGGAACTCAGGTGGCAGCAGCTGGTGGCTTTGCAGCAATGCAACATGGGTGCAGTGATGCAAGGTCCAGGCATGTGGGAGAGCAGTGGCAGTTTATTTTGGCCAAATGGACAGAAGACATTTTGGGCCTGTTCTGCTTAGGGTATCCCCCAGATCATGGGTCATTAAATGTCCCCATTGAACATCACCCAACCATTAGGTATATGGTCTATAATGGCTACTATAAGGTGATGTCCAATATACCCAAAATGGGACAGTTACCAACCCCAGAATAGTTGGATCACAATGGCCTCGCCAGGCTGGACTCCCAGTGCTCCAGCATCTCCAGCCCAGTCGGTGTCTGCATCAGTGGCACCAGCCATGCGAATGGCGCCCGCTGTAGGCAGCCAAGGCAACTCGCTGAGAGATGTGGATGCAACGGCTGGAGATGGGATTCAACCGATCAAAAAAACGAGTCATTTACAAATTAAGAACGAGGAATTAAGTATAATTGTGTATAATTCACTATTTATAATGAGTATGTGGATTTGACCAACGAAGTGGATTTGAGATCGAATGGCAAAAATCATGCCCAACAGTAGAGACAAAGACTAACACCACCAGACCTTACCACCAGACCTTGGGATGAAACCAATACCTCTGGGTGCAGGGCCCAGCGAGACACCTGTGCGGCAGGCAGGATGCTATACTTTGGTGAGGTGAACCATCTTTTCGACAGATTTTCAAGGGGTCTTAAGGTCCCTTGTCTACAGTTCTTTTGGGAGAAAAAAACATCATGGTTTTATCTGGAACCTGTGCCGCCGGCGAAGTCTTCTTCCAGATCTGGAAAGTAAGAAAATCCAAACCGCCATGACGTGGCCATTGTGATGGCATTGATGTGCCAAAAGCTTGTTTTCAGGTCATCAGCCGTGTTCCAGCTCCCAAAGCCAAAGCCAAGGTGGGCTTGGAAAGGTGGTGCTGTGGGGGTAGCAATGTCAGACTTTGGGAACTGCAAGTTTCGGTCATTTTTCATCCGCATCTTTTCATTTCACAGTATACGAACCCTTACCCTCTGGTAAACTAACATAACTATGGAAAATCACCATTTTTTATGGGAAAACTCACTATAAATGGCCATTTTCAATAGCTATGTTAGTTTACCAGAGGGTAATGTAAAGTCCTCATTTTAGTTGGTTAAATTCAGAGGTAAATCACCGCTCCAGGCCCAGAATGGTGTGCTGGTGCGGCTCTCCAGCCATGTGTCCGGAGTCCAAGTCTGAATTGGGGAATGCCACTGGCATGGCATGGATGCCTGGACACTTGTGTCAAGTATCAGCAAAAGGAAGCTTGATATATACGTATATATATATATATATGTATGTATGTATGTATGTATGTATGTTATGTATGTATGTATGTATGGATGGATGGATGGATGGATGGATGGATGGATGGATGGATGGATGGATGGATGTATGGATGTATGGATGTATGGATGTATGGATGTATGG